CCAGCTGATGCCGGTACCGGGCCGCAGCATAAAAAAGGTTGGGGACCACTGATCTAGTCCAACCCCCAGCCCAAGCAGGGGACCCTACACTATTTCTGACAAATGACAGTCCAATCTCTTGAAGGTCTCAAGTGATGGCACTCCCACAACTTCTGAGGGCAAAGCTGTTCCATTGTTGATTGTTCTCTCTGTCAGAAAGCTTCTCCTTATTTCCAGATTGAATCTCTCCTTGTTCAGTTTCCATCCATTGTTCCTTGTCTGGCCTTCGGGTGCCTTGGAAAATAGCTTGACCCCTTCCTCTCTGGGGCAGCCCCTCAAATACTGGAAGACTGCTCTCATGTCTCCCCTGGTCCTTCTCTTCCCTAGATTAGCCATGCCCAGTTCCTGTAATTGTTCATCGTATGTTTTAGTCTCCAGTCCCCTAATCACCCTGGTTGCTCTTCTCTGCACTTGTTCTAGAGTCTCAACATCTTTTCTCTTTGTACCCAGGTCTCAATTAATCTTCCAGTCTCAGCCCCAATCTTTGTACTATGCAATCCAGATTCATTTGCAACAAAGAACAATAAAGTATTAAAGCTCTAATTTAAATGTTTGCAAGCAGGGATTCTTGTAACTATGCAGTGCCTTGTGGATTATTTAATTTATTTATTAAATTTGCCGCCTGTGTCCCCACGAGGGGCTATCTATTATAGAAAGTCCTCGGTTTACGATCATTCCATTTAGCAACCGTTCTAAATTTTGGCGGCGCCGAAAATAGAGACTTATACGACCGGTCCTCACAACTTTATGACCATTACGACATCCTTACAGTCACATGATCAAAAATTGGGTGCTTGACAACCAACATTTATGTCTCTTGCAGCATCCCAGGGTCATGCGTTCAACATTTGCGACCATCCGATAAAGTCAGCAGGAGAAAATGGATTCGCTGAAGGACACCACGATTCGCTTAATGACTGTGGGGAGGAAAAAGGTGGTAAAATAAGGTGCAACTCACCTAACAACTGCCTTGCTTAGCAACGGAAATTCTGACCTCAGTTGCGGTTGTAAATCGAAGGATTACCTGTACTAAGGATTACGAAAGATAGGTCGCAATCTCAGATCTGCAAAAGACTGGAACCTTGTGCTACTTATTTCACTCCCGTGACTGCCAACATGAAAGAAACAGGGGTGGGAATCAGCTGATTAAAAACGCCGGCAGTTGGATCTGGACAAAATCAATGCAAAGTTCTTTTGTGACATAGACCAAACAGCAACCAAGCGTGCTGCCAAACTGAATGTAGTAACAACGCTACGTAAGGTATGTGCTACTTGGCAGAGAGCGCTGACCCGTTGCAAAGCCACAAGAGGGATTTTACAACCTTGCCTAGGGCTAAGCCATCCAGGTGTGCTACAATGCAGGGTAGTCCTGCACTTACGACCGCAACGGAGCTCAGCATTTCTGTTGTTAAGCAAGTTAAGCGAGTTTTTGCTGGCCGTTGTACGACCTTCCTTGCTAAGCACATCCCTGCAGCTGTTCTGTTGGTTGTGAAGTGAATCTGGCTTCCCCGAGGATTTAGCCTTGTCCGGAGGTTACAAAAGGGGACTCCAGGATGCTGCAATCGTCATAAATAGGAGTCAGTTGCCAAGCGTCTGAATTTTGTTTGCGTGACCATTGGAATGCTGCAACGGTTGTAAGTGTGAACATTGGTGTAACTTAGAACGGTCACTAAACACACTAAATTGAGGACAGCTTGTAAATTGACTTGGATATAAAGGGTCGCTTATCATTCAACCAATCTGGAATTCCTCACATTCTCGGACATCCCAACCTAGTAAGGTTGCTGTTTGAATGGGGGGAACCATTTTTTTCCTCCAAAATCCAGAAGTCAGTCAGTGTGGCGTCTGATTTGATTCACATTTGCTACTGCCGGAAACAGGCTTGTATGATTCCCATAAAAAAGGGGAAAGGACATTCCATGTCTAAGCTTTTGGAAAACTCCTGGTCTAATGAAGTGTCTATTTCGGCTTCAAGCCCAAAGGAATCTGAACAAAATTAGGAACTATTCCAGTTCCGTTTGGAACAGCGAGAAATCCATTCCAGAAAACAAAATGAAATATTGGACTGTTTATAATTTCAGAGGAAGACCCTAGCTGGAAATGAACATGCTCTGTCGGGGCAATCACAGAAGTTCTCAGTGAACTGAGGCATATGATGCTGAGTGGACAAGGTTATTTTTAATTTAAAAAGTCAGATTTGTTGAAAAGGAGCCAAGAAAAAAGACAGAGTATTAAATGCCATCTCAGAAATCACTTTTCTTCTTAACAGCCATGCAATCCACAGCCCACAAAAGATATTTCAACTTCTCTGATCCTTGCTTTGTAGTTAAGAGTATCTAGAAAGACAGAAGACCTGAATTGAAATCTCTCCCTAGCTCTGTGTTCATTGAGTGATCTTTATTTGCTCAGTGGATAACAGCTTGATCTGCCCCACAAAACTACGAGCATAAACGAAGCCACAAATGCATACCCCCCACCCCCCAAAAAATTGCAATAATAATAATAATCATTCTGAACACGAAGAAAGAGCTGGATTTATTGTTCTCTTACCTCCTTGAAAAATTCAACAGGTACTTGAAATTCAGTTTTGGATTATTTTTCAAAAGAATGCCCTCTTCTGGATTCTTGGAAAGCGAGCTGATTTTAAGCTCTCACCTCTTTACAGGAGCTGCAGGAAGTTAATCCCACCCAGGTAAAGAGGGAGCCAAAGCAAACTTCTCTGGGACACAGCCACAATGCCAACGTCCTCCCTTACCCTCTTGGAAGCTGTTCACAGAAGGATGTGGCATTTCCCCCCCCCTTCCCCTAAGAGTGAAGGACGCAGTACGTCACGCAGACAAAGGAAAAACTGGTAGAGCACCTCTGAAGCAATCTGCAACCTTCCACCAGTGCCAGCTAGAAAAGAATGTTGTCCCCAAAACCAGGCTCTTGCTTGGTGCAGAAGCCGATAAGTCACCAGACATAAGGTGTGGTACAAAATTATGCTTTTATTTTGGTACCAAGATAGAAGGACCCTGGCTCAAAAGCTAACCAAGGGCCTCCATAAGAATCTTACAGCAATTTTTATAGTCAAGGGGTGGTTGCATGCAACCTTTGCTCTTCCCCTAATAATGCATGCATAATAGATAACATTGATTGGTTATTTGGATCTCAAATGGTACGGACTTACTACTGCACAATCTGGTTGCAGAAATCTTTTTTTTTAATCCTTGCTTCTTCATGTAGAAGAGAGTTAAGAGTTTAAATGATCAGTGGAAGAAAGGGTGGGAAGCCCCATAGATTTCATAACTTTAGAATAGAATAGAATAGAATAGAATACCTTTATTGTCATTGCATTCCACAAATACAATGAAATTTGAAAGCTATTCCAGCACAATATCCCAAACACCACATCACAATCACGCTACAGAGTATTTAAAAATTAAAATAATAATAATAATAGGACTAAATCACAAATGCACTGTTTGATTCAAGACAATTAGTGCCTTGGAAAAGAAACTGTTTCTCAATCTATTAGTCCTCATTTTAAGACACCTATAACGTCTCCCTGATGGTAACAGTTCAAAATATGAATGTTTATTTATTTTATTTATTTATTTTGTTAAGCGATTATAAGATAACAGGTATAAATATAAACATAGTTATGAATACATGAAATAGATACATATAAAAAAAATAAAAAAAAATAATAGGACAGGAACGGTACGCTTAGGCCTCTTAGGAAAGGGGTGAGGTCAATAGTAGACAGTCTTAAGGTTAAAGTTTTTGGGGTTTGGGGAAGAAACTACAGTCGGTGGAGATTTTTTGTGCTCTAGAGAGGAGTCTGGTCTTCGCAATCTCTTCCAAAGAAGAAAGAGTGCAACCGATGATTTTTTGTGCTGTGTTTATAACTCTCTGGAGCATCTTCTTATCCACTGCAGAGCATCCAGCATACCACACCGTTACACAGTGTGCCAAAATGCTCTTGATGGTAGACCGGTAAAAAGTAACCAGCAACTTCTCACCCAGACCATTCTTTTTCAGCAATCTCAGAAAGTGCAGGCACTGTTGGGCCTTCTTTGCAGTGGCCATAGTGTGGACCGATCAAGTAAGGTTGTCGGAAAGATGAGTTCCTAGAAATTAACTTTAGGTTTTTCTTTTTCTTGCATGCTTTTCTTTCTTTCCTTTCTATCTTTTCCTTTGATTTTACTGCATGTAAATAAATGTAAACAATTGTATCCTTTTTTGTGTCATGGCTTTTTTTTTTTTTTTTGCATTTTAAGATATCTTTTTTCAAACATGCATTTTTCTAAAGTTTCTCTTGGCTTTGCTGTTGAATGTTGAAGGAGTTGTAAACAATTTTTATGTAGATTTGCGCTCTCTCTCGTATCTCATTCTACCTTTATCTACCTGTTTTCTCTATGTCTGTCTGTCTATCACCTAATCTATATGATATCTCTCTCTCTTTATTTAGAGTTTTATTGCACAAAGTGTCCTTTTGCGTTCCTATCCCGCGTTTGCCTCTAACAATGCCTTTCTGTCAGACGCGGGCTGCAGAACTCGGGAGGGCCACTAGCTGGAGCCACAGCAGCCGAGCATCCTCTCTAGAATTTACACGCCTCGACTCTATGCTCACGCCGCCCTCTCTGCCTTTTATTTGTCTCGGCGGTCTATCCCAAAAACGTCCTGGGCGCCGTCAGATGACGCCATCAAAGGACCGCCGCCCGGGTTGTGGCGCCTCGGCTGCGCCTGCGCCGCTCTTCATCACCCGCCGCCTTCCCCATGGCTACCGTGGAGACGCCGCCGGTGGCGACGGCAGCTGCGGCGGCGGCCTCGGCCTCTCGCAAGCGGCGGCCGCCCAAAGGGCAGTACGTGCAGGCGGCCAAGAGGCCCCGGCCGGCCGGGCGGCGCCAGCTGGAGGCCGGCATGTGCGGCATCCTCATCACCTGCAACATGAACGAGCGCAAGTGCGTGGCCGAAGCCTACAGCCTGCTGGGCGAGTACGGAGAGCAGCTGTACGGGCCCGAGCAGGTGAGCCCGGGGGCGGGAGGAGAAGCCACGGGAGGGGGGGGGGTTGGCTGGGGGGGTGGCGGGGGGGGGGGGGGGGGGGAAACGCCTGGAAGGCTGGGGACCACAACTCCCAGGATTCCCGCTCAGCAAAGTGCCCGGTGGGAATGCTGGGAAATGTAGTTTTTCGCGACTTTTGCAGAGCTCTCTCTCTCCCTCCCCCCCGGTTTTATTTTCTAAGAAAAAAACAACAAATAAAACCTTGTTTCAATTATACAGTGTGTCGCTTGAGTACATATAATCATGTGCACAATATTTATATACATTTTTCTTGAGTTCACATATTATATTCTAATCAACATTCTATATCGTTGTATATCATCATTAGGTTTTTTTAAATTTCAGTTTCAAACTATCCTTAAAAGCAAATCCCAACTCTTTACAAAATTATATTAATGTTATAACTTATTCTAAGATAACCAGTTGTAGTATATCATTATACTACATTGGGGGGGGGGGGAGAGTTGGTTTTGGGTTTTGTTTTGTTTTTTCCCCAAATTTTGTTCTATTGTACTTTACTAATTTTTGTTAGTTCTTATTGTTTTTATTTTTATTTTTTGTTTTAAATATGATTTTACATTGTGTAAGCTGCCTTGAGTCGCCATGGGCGAATAGGAGGCAATACAAATCAAATAAATAAATAAATTATTATTATTACAATATCCTTTAATTTCTTACTTTACTTTCTAACCGTTCATAAAATAAACCCCATATTTTATAATATTCTTCGTCTCCTTGCTCTTTAATTTCTAGTGTCAATTTACTCATTTCTGCACACTATTATTTTCTTAATCACCTCCATTGGAATTTTCTCATTTTTCCAATTTTGAGCAAGTACAATTCTAGCTGCTGTTAACACATTAATAATCAAATATGTTATTTCTTTACTGTATCTTTCAGGCAAGATTCCCCAATAGGAATATCTCAGGCTTTAAGTCTGTGTGTTGTTTTATCATTTTTTTCCCAACCATGTGTGTTTTTTAGTCCAGTGTCTTTTAGCTTGAGCTCCCCCTGCTTTTCTGCTTGGGTGTTTTTCTATGGCCTCAGGTGGGAAAAGGTAAAACCGTTCTAATGCAGGGAGTTCTCGACTTACAACCATTTGTTTCGCGACTGTCCGAAGTTACAACAGCCCTGGAAAAAGTGACTTAATTGGTTTTCACGCTTAGGACCAATGCAGCATCCCATGGTCAAGCGATCAAAATTTGGATGCTGGGCAACTGGCATGTATTTATTTATTTTTTGGTCTTTTAATGACCCCGTAATCCCTTGCATCGGGGTGGAGTCGGGGCAGTTGAATGGAGCTGCGTGTTTACTGTCCGGATGCTCTTCCTGTCGCCAATGCAGAGTTCGCAGCAGATATTATTAATTAATTGTGCCCAGAGAGAGAGAAATATCTGCCGCTACCTAGGATCGAACCACAGCCTCCTGATTAGGCCACTGCACCTCTCAACTGGCATGTATTTAGGACGGTTGCATTTCCTTGGGTCACGTAAGCCCCATTTGTAACCTTCCCAGCCAGCTTTTTCGACAATGGGGGAAAGCCAGATTTGCTTAATGACAGATTCGGTCACTTAACAATTGCAGGGCTCCCTTGTGGTCGTAAGACAATATGTATTTATGTTATTTTTGCCTATGCTAAGTTTGCAGAGCAAACCGAGGACAGACTCTCTGGGAATGAGGAGGAGCAAGAGGAGGAGGAGGAGGAAGATGATGCCGAAGCAGCTTTGAAAAAAGAAGTGGCTCAGATCCGTACCGCCACGGAACAGAAGCAACGTCGGTTCCAGTCGGTGGAAAGTGGTGCTAACAACGTGGTTTTTATTCGAACGCTGGGTGTCGGTATGTATGCAAAGAGTTTGCCAATAAAATGATTACGATTTTATTCCTAATGTTATTTACACATTGCTGTCCCTCAAAGAATCCAAATGACTTACAAAAGAACAAAAAATAACCCAACCATCCTTGGCAATTTAAAAACCTGGGTAGTTCCCAGAATTCCTAGCCAGCACACCAAAAACTTTACTCTTGCTTTTTTTTTTTTTTTTTTTAGCAAAAATCACCCCATAGTGAACAATGAGTTGGCTTAACATCCGCAACATTTGTTTAATGATTGCAAATTCACTTAATGCCCTGATGCTTGGCTTAACCACCAACACAGGAAAAAGTTGTAAAATTGGATCCGTTCCTCTGATGGACCTGATTTTACAACCACCATGACTTATGACCAGAACAGGCAGGCTCCATTACAGTTATAAACCGAGGACTATCTGAAGGTCTTTCTCATGTCAAAGGACTTAGTGCTTCTAAGAAGGCTGGTGCTTCTCACTTGAAAGTGTTTTTCTGGTGAGACCGGTCTATCCACCCAAATATGGAACGTGTCAACTCATAAAATATTTCAATGGTTTTTTTTAGAGTTGCCAACAGAAAGGGAGGGGGAGCAGTGGGCAGCTTGAAAAGCAAAAGTGCGTTCCATAAATGTTTTCAAAGATAGTAACTAGGTGACCGAAGTTTCTACTGCAAAAAATTCTAACTGGAGAACATGCTTGATGACTCTTGGCTATGGAGGTGTCCCATTGGAGAATATGAATTACGATACACCCAGGGGGTGGGCGGAAAAACCAGGGTCAAGGATGACACTGAATGATGTGTCTCAGAGTCGGCTACACCCAGGCAGAGCCGGCATGTTTACTCCTAATAAATCTTTTAAGTTTTGGAATTTTGGCTCGAAACCCATGGTTTAAATGGGGGTAACTGCCGGAACCCTGACAGCATGGAGCATATTGCTTCTCACTTGAAACAGTCTCCCTTTGAATCCTCACGTTTGTGTGTCCGCAGAACCTGAGAAGTTGGTCCACCACATTCTAAAGGACATGCATGCCACCAAAAAGAAGAAAACCCGAGTCATCCTGCGCATGCTGCCCGTATCGGGTACCTGCAAAGCCTTCCTTGAAGACATGAAGCAGTATGCAGAGATCTTTTTCGAGCCCTGGTTCAAAAGCCCCAAAAAGGGCACTTTCCAGATTGTTTACAAGGCGCGAAATAACAGCCACCTCAGCAGGGAAGAAGTCATAAAAGAGCTGGCAGGTAAACACAAGGGAAAACTATTACAGCTTTTCTCTTCTAGGGTAGCTCTCAATCCATGGTAGATCTGCAGTGGTTTAAGAATTGGGGTTTAAGATTTTATGTTCCTGTGGGGATGTTGCAATCTAACAAGGGTTCAAGCAGTGCACCCTAAAAGTTGCACCTAGAACCTCACTTCAGAAGTGAGCATACCTGGGATGACCCAGGGTGGGATACAAAAGCAACAAAGTCACGAAAACAGGTGAAGTCCCTTTAATTCCTTCAACTTGGCTTCAAAGGTCCAATTATCATTGACTGGAGAAAAAAACTCCCCCACAAACAGTTGCGAAAAGGAAGAAATTCCGTTCGAACTCAAAATACATATAAATTATAAATAGAAAAAAACAACACAAACCACACTGAAGCAATTAATGAGACAAGGCAGGATAAGGGCTTGAAGACGTCCACAGATATCGAAACACACTGGGAAGGACGCCAGAACTCAAATAAGAACTGAAAGACTAGAATTATTTCACGCTTTGCTTCCAACACTGGCCCAAGCGCAGTTTGTCCTTTTTCACAGCTGCAGCCCATGAAGGGGATCAGGGCCCTTTCCTCCCCCATAGACCATGCCATTCACGTTTCTCCCTTATCCGCTCCTCCCTGCGTGCCCTAGGATGAAGAGGGGATGGGCCTGGGTCTTCCTCTGAATGCCCAGCCGGTCTGTGTCCTTCCCCAGTTTCCTCCACAACCTCCGGAGCCACACTCCCACTCCCTGTTGGCTGTCCTCCTCTCCTCAGAGTCAGACTCTTAATGGGCATGACGATACTGGTGCTTCTATTTCTGTTTGGTTTTTCAGTGGGGGTGAGTAGATTTCCCAAAAGGGCAACATAAGGAGACTTGAAATGCACTCTCTTCATCCCTTTAGATCCCCATTTTTTCCTGTTCCACAAAAAAAACAGAATTTTTATTCCTCCATACTAGGATAGCCTTTGATATGTTTTGCAGAGCCAGGCATGGCTGGGGAAACTCGGTGGGAACTTCATGGTTATATTCTAAGATTTCTGACCATTGGCCACGCTTGTGGTTGACGGGAATTTCTGTCTAAAATGCCTGGAGAAACCAGGTTGTCTCGGAATGTATTAAACGCTTAAAACTTCAAGCAGACCACCCATCCTAAAGTTATTTCCTAAGACCACTCTCGGTGCCATCTCTTCCTCCCCATAAAGACACTGGTTTTACATTGTTTTCTTTTTAAAGATACTCAACAACAGGACTAGAAGGGGGGGAAAAGAAAGAAAAAAGAATGTACAAAACGTTACACACAAAAAAGAATGAAACTCAAAAGTGTTTTTAAAAAGGCAAGTGGACTTTGTTTTTTTCCCCTTGAAGACGTTCCTCTTCTTATCTGATAAACTTCTTCGATTCTGACTGAAGAACTGAAGAAGCTTCTCAGATGAGAAGGGAAATATCTTCAAGGAGAAACAAAGCCCAGTTGCCTCTTGAAAAAAAAAAAAAAAAGCACTTTTGGGACAACCCCGACCTGGATGACTGAGAATCTCCATAGACACAATAAAACAAAACGCCTGTCATTCCCCTAGTTATGAAATCAAACGAAGGCAATAATCCCTGCCTCCTTTCCATCCTTGCCTTGCAGGCGTGGTGGGCCACCTCAACCCAGAAAATAAGGTCGACCTGAGCCACCCTGAGTACACCATTGTGGTGGAGATCATCAAGAACATCTGCTGCTTGAGTGTGGTTCAGGACTACATTCTCTTCCGGAAGTACAACCTCCAGGAAGTGGTGAAGAGCAAAGCTGAGGGGCAGCCAGAGGCTCCCAAACCATCCCACGAGAACGACGCCCCCGGAGCGGAAACACCGGAAGCACAGAGGGAAAACCGAAACGAGCGCCAGGACAAGACCGAGACTGCCTCCAACGACAATCATGAGGACTAGGACCATGAATGGAAGAGCCGAGAAGCAGAAAAAAAAAAGGGAAAAAAATCTGCAGGATGGGTGGAGGGTTGTTAAATCAGGGGGTTGATGTTTGCTCTCTAGGTCAGGGCTCTTCAACCTTGGCAGCTTTTAAGACTTGTCTGAACTTCACCTCCCAGAATTCCTCAGCTTTGCTGGCTGAGGAATTCTGGGAGTTGGAAGTCCACAAGTCTTAAAAGCTGCCAAGATTGGAGACCCCTCTGCTCTAGGTGATGTGGCTAAAGTGCAGTCTGTCTCAGACCATCCCGCCCCACCATTCCTGTCTTGTAGTTATTCTGAATTTGAGGGAGGGGAGGAGTGTTCCCAACTGAACAAGCCATGATTTTCACAACCTGTAATTCAGGGGTGTCCGCCCTCAGCAACTTTTAAGGCCTGTGGACTTCCAGAATTCCCCAGTCAGCTATTCTGGGAGTTGAAATCCATAGGTTTTAATGCTGTCAAGTGTGGTCACCCTTGCCCCGAAGGTTTAGTGTTACATACAAAACCGATAATTGTGGCTGGATCAAACTCTGGCTAGCCTTTTCCTGACCCAGAGCCATTTATGGGTCCTATTCTTAGGATTAAAAGGTACTGCGCTGATCAGCCAAATGCGTTTCTGCTGTTTCCCTCTAACCTCCAATCCGGATGGAGTGCTGACCCCACTTTCTGGCTTTTTAAAGTTAACATTGCAAAAATGCAGCCAGGATGGGGAGGTGGGTTTGGGAGAGAGGAATTGTTCCTAAACAATTGCCTGAGGTTGGAAGTAGAAGTAGCTAAAGTTGGCTTATTAAAGGTTTTAAAGGTTTTAAAATTATCCCTTTCTATTCTGATTATCATGACCAAAAAACAAAAAAAAAAAAAAAAACAAACCCCAAACCCCTCCCAGATTTTCTTATTCAGGAGTAGGGGGGTCAACAAAGACTACCTATTCCCTTAAAGTTTTTTTTTTTTTTTGCAAGGTGGTTTTTAACTCTTCATCCTCAACAATTTGTGTTTCCAAATCGTAGATTTTTTCCCCCCAAGTAAATTATGGCAGCTGTTTCCTGCCAGATTTTCCTGTAATCACGGTCTAGTTACCAAGCCAGCATCTTGATGCGAAGTCTAGCGTGACTTGAGAACAAACACGATCATTTCCTCTTCGGCTGGCATCTCTGTGGATCTCGTATTCTGATCCCCTCCGGAAAAACAGCACCTGTCATCCAGTCTATCACAAAGGTCTCTAAACTTGGCAACTTTGAGACAGGTGGGTTTTGACTCCCAGAATTCCTCAGCCAGCCTTGCGTGAATTCTGGGAAGTGAAGTCCAGAAGTCTTAACGTTGCCATCTTTGGAGACCCTCCCTGGTCTATGAGAATAGATAGTTTTAATGTTCTGGTGCTTTTTCTGAATTGGGAACATGTTCAGGTTTCTCTTGTAACTCTTTTAACAGGTGAATATTGAGCTTGGAGGAACTTTGATGGGCTTGCTTGTAGAGACCCTTCTTAACGATCTTAAGCAAATTGTAAAATATTTACCGTACGGGGCTTTGGGGAAAATATACATCTTTTGTTGAAAAATGTTCTATTTGCAGTTACATTGTTAGAAATGTTAATGCTCCAAACTCGTAATTCTTGTGGGAGACAAAATCCAGCTTTTCTCTGGGAGGAATTTCTTGACTGAAAATAAACATTCACAGCATAACATCTTTGCAGGGGTATAATACTTCCCAGTTTGTACGTGCTTGTTCTTTTTTTTGTATGTTGTTTTCTATTAAATTGACCTTGGTTTGGTTTGGAAGAGATTGGCTAACGCATGTTCTTTGCTTTTTTTCTTTTTTTGAACCACCCTTCTCTTTGTAAAACTCAAAATTCAGTGTGTGGAGATAAATGATCAGTGGGAGCAATTCTGCCTTTTAAAATCAGTATGCAAAGGAACAGATCAGTTGTTGGTTCATTTATTCACTTACTGCTATTTGTGGCAAGGATATCTGCTTTGTAGAAGAAAAATCTCCCATAACTCTCTCCTTCTATCTCTCATTCTATCTCTATCATCTATCTATCTATCTATCTATCTATCTATCTATCTATCTATCTATC